GGGGAGGAAAGCTCCCCCCTTGCTCCAGGCTGCTGGTTCCTTTGCCGGCTGCTGCCACCAAGACAGAAGTGGCAGGTCCCCCAGGCCCTGCTGGGCTAAGCTGGCTGGGCACCACTTTTCCCGTATCAATATGATTGCAAGCTACTGTCTGGTGTCCTCCTTACATTTCAGCCTAAGGATTCCCTTTAGTGTTTCTTTTAGGATAAATCTACTAGTGACAAACTTCTTGTTTTTTAAAATCTGGAAATAGCTTCATTTGTGAAGGATAGTTTTCCTAGATAAAGAATTCTTGGTTGACAGGTTTTTGTTTTAGCACTTTGAATATGTTATTGCACTGTCTACTGACCTTTGTGGTTTTCAAAGAAAAATCTGTTGTTAATCTTATTGAGGAGCCTTTGTTCCATCCCCCACTCCATAAGTTAATTTTTTTTTTTTTTCCTATTTTCAGGATTCTTTCTTTGTCTTTGTTTTTGAAAAATTTGATTATGGCATAGCTTGGTGTGGATACCTTTCCATTAATCCTATTTAGAGTTCATTGAGCTGATGAGCTGGATTCATGTCTTTCATCAAATTTTGAAAATTTTAGCAATTATTTCTTCAATTCTTTTTTTTTTTTTTTTTTTTTTGAGATAGAGCCTGTGTTGTACTCGGTAGAGTCCGTGGTGTCATAGCTCACAGCAATCTCAAACTCTTGGGCTTACGCGATTCTCTTGCTTCAGCCTCCCAAGTAGCTGGGACTACAGGTGCCTGCCACATTGCCCAGCTATTTTTTTTGTTGCAGTTGTCATTGTTTAGTGGGCCTAGGCCAGGTTTGAACCCACCAGCCGCGGTGTATGTGGCCAGCACCCTAACCACTGAGCGATGGGCACCGAGCCTCTTTAAATATTTTTTTCTGCTTCTTTCACTCACTTCTACTTCTGTGGCTCCTCTTATGTGTATGTTAAAATGTCTCAGTGGTTGGGAGTGGTGGCTCATGCCTGTAATCCTAGCACTCTGGGAGACTGAGGCAGGTGGATTGCTTGAGAAGTTTGTGGCCAAGCTTGAGCAAAAGAGAGACCTTGTCTCTAAAAAATAGGCAGGCATTGTGGACACCTATAATACCAGTTACTTGGGAGGCTGAGGCAAGAGAATCACTTGACCAAGAGTTTGAGGTTGCTGTTAGTTGTGACACCATAGCACTCCACCGAGGGTAATAAAGTAAACTGTCTCCAAAAAAAAAAAAAGAAAAAGAAAAAAGTTTCATGATGTCTTACGGGCATCTTATGCTCTTTTCATTTTCCTTCATTCTTATTTCTTTCTATTCTTCACACTCAGTAATTTAGGTTGACCTGTCTGTGAGTTTGCTGATTCCTTTTTGTTATAGGGGTTTGAAGGATGTTGGTGCAGAACATAGAAAGAGATATGACCACAAGCAGTGGTAACACAGAAGCTTAATTGGGTGGCTTAATTGGGAAACGTCTTTTACTGTATGAAACTGTATAGAAGCTTAGAGCACTGTACAGAAAGGAAGGAGGGCAAGGAAACTCTTGGGGAAATGAAGAGTTAGAGAGGAGGCTTACCTGTCTAGGTGATATAGCTCAGCAGCATGCTGGTGTGCTCTGGATCAGAGAATACCAAAGCCAGCCACCCACAGCCTAGCAGGGGTCCTCAAACTTTTTAAAGAGGGAACCAGTTCGCTGTCCCTCAGACTGTTGGAGGGCCGGACTGCAGGCCCAGGGACTGGTTGACTGCTAAGCAGGATAGGCAGCTGTGGCAAAAACACCTGGCGGGTGGGATAAATGTCCTTGGCAGGCCGCATGTGGCCTGTGGGTGGTAGTTTGAGGACCCCTGGTATGGTCTCCTAAATATAAGGCCAAACAGCTGTTAGGTGAGGATTTGCAGGGTGTACAAAGCAGGCAAGCTTGAAATGGCTAAAGTTGAGAAAAACTTGTTTGGCACTAGGGGGTTTTTGAGTGAATCAGTCTCAGAGTGCAGTGAAAAAATATCCTAGTACACGGAGGCCATCTTTGGCTCATTTATATAACATTTCTTGCTTGTTCTAATCTTCTATTGAATCCCTGTAGTGATTTTTTTATTTCAGTTGTTATAGGATTTAATTATAGAATTTTTATTTGATTAGCTTCCATAATTTGTACTTTTCATTAATATTCTTTAGTTGATGGATATCTCTACTTGATTCTTGAGGTTTCCTTTAGTTCTTTGTATATGGTTTCCTTGAGCTTTTTGAGAATCTCTTTAAATTGTTGAGATATTGTCTGTATCTAGTAAGTTCAGTGTACAGGCTTCTACATGGACAGTTCCTATTTATTTTTTTTCTTGTGAGTGGACTGGCAAATTTTAGCCCTATGTAGGCCAAACATTCTGCCAGTTTTTGTTAATAAAGTTTTATTGGCACAGAGTCATGCATATCCATTTATGTATTGTCAGTGTTGACAATGACCTCAATTCCAAGCTAAGGGATAAAAGGAAAGGTAAAACCAAGAAACCAATCTTTGTTTTGGCACCCTCCACAATTCATTTATTAGTAACTTTTTAGAGTTGAAGTACTTTTAGCATGTTGCCAAGAGGTTTTAGTTCTAATGAGTATGAGTGAGAGGCTATGGTGGGGTAATTTACCTTTATTATGATTAGAGGCCAATTCACTAGGTGTTTCTCATGAATTCTGAATACATATGGGAACCACCTAGTGAATTTGCCTCTAATCACAGTAAAGGACCTTTTGGGAGAAAAGTGGTGGTTGTGAAGGGGAAAGGCAATTGTTTTCCCAAAGCTGAAGATTTAAGAATAATAGAGATTCTTTTGTCTGTATAGAGGTAAGTCATTTTTGTTTATTCTTTTGTCTGTATAGAGGTAAGTCATTTAGGTCATAGTTTTGATAGGAATCTTTTATATACGATAGCAGTTTCTTGAATTTTGTTCAACATCATTTTGTTATGATGATGAGGGAAAAAATGAATTCCTAACCAGGACCACTGTCTGTGTGGAGTTTTCACTTTCTCCTCATCTGTGTGATTTTTTTTCTGGGTTTGATACTCTGATTTCTTATCATATCCCACAGCTGTATACCTTAGGTTATGTCTAAGCTGTGCATGTGTCTAAATGGTCCTAGTATAAATGAGTGTGTGGATGTGTGTGTGAGTGCATTCCATGATAAAATAGCATCCTGTCCAGAGGGGGTTCCTGGTTTGTGCCCTGAGCTGCCAGGATAGGTTCCAGCCACCTGCAGCCCTGAACTGGAATAACCGGGTAAATGATCATCTTGTTTTTATTCATATGTGTATCTATAGCTCACATTTATTTTAACATTTAGTATTAGAAGTGGATTGGTCTTTATTTAGCAGTTTGGTTGGTGATGCTTTTGTGACCAGAAATATGCCATAGGAACTTAACTCTTGTGTGTATAAATTCTAGGGATAGTATCATTTCAGCACAAACACTAAGTTATATATCTAAAATGGATAACAGTTTTTTAAAAAATTAACTTCTTTTAGAGAAGTTATCTTCTTACAGTTAGTTCAATTCAGGATCTCACTATGGCCCACTCATTGTACTTGTTAATCTTATAACAACAATATTCAAAAATATTGTCCCTACCCCTACCCTAACCAACTTTTTATGATGTAACTTTTTAAGATTCTTTTATAAAAGAGCTATTTATTTTGGAATTATTTTATTTTTTATTGTATACATTTAAGGCATGTAATATGTGCTTTGATATGAAATGATTTTTAGATTTATAGAAAATTGCAATAATAGTACAGAGAGTTTCCCTATACTCCTCACCTACTAATTACCTCTCTAATTTCATTGTCTTGTGTTACTGGGATACATTTGCCAAAATCATGAAACCAGCACTAGTATTATCCATTACCATTAATTACATTTTAGTCTTTATTTGGATTTTGCTAGTTTTTCTGTTAATGTCCTTTTCTGTGCTAAGACCAACATGTTTACATTCGTTCTTTTTTCTCCTTAGTTTCTTTTGGGTTGTGTTAGTTCTTCAATATTTCCATATTTTTCATGACCTTGAATTTTTAAATTTTTATTATTATTTTTTGCAGTTTTGGGCCAGGGCTGGGTTTGAATCCACCACCTCTGGCATATGGGGCAGGCACCCTATTCCTTTGAGCCATAGGCGCCGACCATGACCTTTAATCAGGTATTTTGTAGAATGTCTGCATCTGACATATGTGTTTTTCTCAGGATTAGATTTGGGCTATGACTGATACCAGAGAAGTTAAAGTACCTTTCCCACGATTTACATTTCTTTTTGAGTTTTCTTTTTCTTAAATCACGCATAAAAAGTTTGCATGCTTTCATAGTCAAACTATAAAACTTAAAAGTAGTCTTTTTTGGCGGGACAGGATGGCTCACACCTGTAATCCCAGCATTCTGGGAGGCTGGGACAGATGGTTTACTTGAGCTCAGCAGTTTGAGATCAGCCTAAGTAAGAGGCCCATCTCTAAAAATAACTGGGAGGGCACCTGTAGTCCCAGCTCTTGGGAGGCTGAGGCAAGAAGATTACTTGAGCCTGAGAGTTTGAGGTTGCTGTGAGCTATGACACTATGGCACTCTACTGAGGGCAACAAAGTTGAGACTCTGTCTCAAAAACAAAAACAACAAAAAAGCATAATCTCCGCCAACACTCTCCATTTCCAGTATTTTTTCGCTCTCTTAGAAAGGAAAACGTGTTAAACTTACTTTTTGGCTTATCTTTTCACTTTTTTTTTCCCAAAGCTAAGATGCACTTGTACACATGGGTGAATATATACCTGTCTCTTCCTCTCTTTGTCCACAACACATATATAATATTGGTCCATATTCTTAGTTCCTCCGCCATACTTTCTCTTTAGGATGTTCTCTTATGGCAACTTCAGTAATGGCCCCTTGTATTTAGGATGACTTTCTTTTTAAAAAGGTAATTTGTTTTCTAACAAAACCCTTTTCCTATGCTTTGAAAATGATCAGCATATATCAAATGGCTCCTTTTTTCTTCACAGATATTTTCCAATTTGTCCCTGGATGAGCGGTGCCTTTCTGCATCATTGGTTTGCAAGTATTGGCGTGACCTTTGTTTAGATTTCCAGTTTTGGAAGCAGCTGGATCTTAGTAGTCGCCAGCAGGTATGGGTTCTAATTCTAAGAAACACCCAATTTAGCTTACTCAATTAAAAAGTGTCTTTATTCCTCTTCTGAAAGCTCCTGAGTGTTATTTTTCAAGATAGTTCAAATAATTACAATCTGTAATTTAGTGCTTTTTAAATTTTTATCATATCTATTTAAGTTAAAGCTATGTTCTCATGATGAACAAGATAGTTTTTAGTGTAGACTGGCCTGTTTGGGTTTCTTTTTAATCCTTTATGTCTTAGTCTTTTTGTTTTTTCCTCTCATTTTTACCTTTTAAGGAGAATTATTAAATTTTTTAGGGCAGAAGTCATATCATAAATATTGATATTGGAAAATGATGGCAAACATTTATATAACACTGCCTCTGTGCACTGTACCATTTCTAAAGGCTTAGTCATATTAATTCATTTGATCTCCCAGCAACCCTATGAGTAGATATGATTTTATGTTTTGTAGATGAAGAAATGGAAGTCAGGGTGGTGCCTGTGGCTCAAAGGAGTAAGACACCAGCCCCATATGCTAGAGGTGGTGGGTTTAAACCCAGCCCCAGCCAAAAACTACAAAAACAAAAGAAATAGAAGTCAGTAGCTAAGATAACTTCTTTAAAATTTTCCTTTCAATGGATTTTCTTATCCTCCCCATTGCTCTGCTGCCTAGTATGTTTATATGGTGGCCTAAATTAGGAAAAAAGACAGTTTATTGTGCTTACTGCAAACAGTTCATTGAATTTGTTAGATAATCTTTAAATCTCGGTAGTCAGTATTTGGTATTAGAAATGTCTGTAAATACACAATAAGAATAAAATTTTGTTGAAGTATATTACTAGTGTGAAGTAATATTCCATGGTATATTACTAGTGGTATGCTGGTAAAGGTTTAACAACTAGCTTTTAAAAAGCCCCAAATTGTAATATTTGCCAGTTTCTGTGGTATAAATATTCCTGTCCTGGCCAGTTCAAGCTACACATGTTATGCCACTGAATGTCAGTTTGGAAAGAGGTGAACACCATAAGCTCTTGTTAGGTTATATGAGCCAGCTTCAACTTATCACTGGTAGCATGCATTTGTGCGTGTATAACAAACATACTTTAAACATGTTAAGCAAGTTCCAGAGCATGCATGTCTGTATAAATTGCTTTTATTTTATTTTTTTTTTTGCCTCCTTGGTAAGAAATTAAAACAATTTCAGAATTAGTTATTTATTTGGGTTTTGTGTCCGAGGAGACTGATGAAAGGTTAGTGTGGCTAACAGAGTAGAGAAGTTAAGTGTAAAGGAGTCCATTGGCTCATTACTTTATTCCTCAGATGCCTGAGCTATTTGTTATGAACAGAATAGCTTTCCTGGGGCAGCGCCTGTGGCTCAGTGGGTAGGGCGCTGGCCCCATATACTGGGTTGGAATCCACCCTCGGCCAAACTGCATCAAAAAAATGGCCCGATGTTATGGCAGGTGCCTGTAGTCCCAGCTACTTGGCAGACTGAGGCAAGAGAATCACCTAAGCCCGGGAGTTGGAGGTTGCTGTGAGCCATGTGATGCCATGGCACTCTACTAAGGGTGATAAAGTGAGACTCTTGTCTCCTAAAAAAAAAAAGAGAGAAAGAATAGCTTTCCCCCTCCGCTGGTTATAAGGTTTGGATATGAAAAGAATAATACATGCAAGGAGAGCTATGTCAGAGTTTTAGGTTGTCCGGGGAACTACTGTCTGTGTTTATGCTTTTCCAACAGCATAAGCACAGATATCATAGTTTCATCTTTAGCTCTTATTCCTAGTGCTACTCTGTACTCCAGCTCTTTCTTTCTTCCATTCTAAATTTTATGTGCATTTCTTTCTTTGTAATTTTTACCCAAAAACTTGAATAGTGTTAACTCTGTTTTCCTTTTGGGGATTGTGGTAACTGGGAATGGACTATGTAGAGACTGATTTTTTTTTTTTTTAATTCATTTGGTCATAGGAGTTTTCACCAGATGAATTTTTTTTTAATTTTTAATTTTTTATTGTTTGGGAATTCACTGAGGGTACAAAGAATTAGGTTATACTGATTGCAGCACCAGATGAATTTTAACACTACTTATATTTAGCATTGAGTCTTCTGAGAAAATGTTTTGACATGGGCATTTCTATATAGCCTTTGATGTTTTGATATATAAAATGTAGTGTTTTCTAAGCTATGAATTAATTACATGTGAGGTAGCATTTTGATAGAAATAGTGAAACAATTCAAATTTACATACTGTGGTATCATCTGAGGTGTAAGAAATCAAGATTCATATGTCGTGATAACTGATGTACTCTATTTCCTGCCTTAAAAAAATAGAGAACGAAGAATCTAAAATCTCTATACAGTTTTGTTTGTCATTGGTTTTTGGTGACTCTGAAGGTTTAATTAACACGAATTTTTTCAAGGATAGATTTTTAGCCTTTTAATGAAAACTAACATTCTTCTGATACTACTTCTGACACCAAATGTGTGGAGTTTTTACCACACTAACAACCAATTCTCCAGTACCTCTGAGTGTCCAGGAGTTCAGTTCAGTGCTGACACTAATTTCCAGAGTTAAGAGCTCGGTCTCTCGGACTCACACTTCATATGTCAGGGGCAAGTTCCATGAGCCGCCCATACTACTGACTGATCAGTTAAAAATTCTAGAGTTCCCTGATCTCCTCAGTTTCCGTAATTGGCTACAATTATTCAGAGAACTCAGGAAAATACTTACATTGGATTTAGGTTTGTTATACATGTAAAGGATTCAACTCAGGCTCAGCCAAGTGGAAGAGCTATATAGAGCAAGGTATGGTGTGGGCCACCCTCCTGTTGCTTCCTTGTGTTTACACTTGAATCTCCTGTTCAGTGGTTTCTCAGACCTTTTTGTAAACCTTTCTCCTTTCCATGGAGGTTGGAAGTGGGGCTGAAAGTTACCACTCACATCACCTGTTTAGCCTCTCTGGTAGCTGGCCTTCATTCTGAAGCTATCTAGGGGCTCCACTCTGAGTCACCTCACTGGTATAAACTCCGCTGTGGTCAAGGGGCTTGTTATGAATCATAAAAGACACTATCACCAGAAATTCCAAGGGTTTTGGGAACTCTGTTCCAAGACCTGGGGACAAAGACCAAATATATTTTTTATTGTACCACAATTTGTATTATGCTTTAATATTAAGAATGTTTTTCATTTGATTGTTTTTATTTTATAATCTAATTATTTATTGAGGAAAATTTAGCAATATTATAGGAACAAGTTATTACTTTCAGTAAAAGTTTAAATTTGTTGCTTCCTTTTTTTCTCATAGGTTACTGATGAATTATTGGAAAAAATTGCATCAAGAAGTCAGAATATAATTGAAATCAACATTTCTGATTGCCGCAGTATGTCTGATACTGGCGTATGTGTTTTAGCATTTAAGTGTCCTGGACTTCTTAGGTATACAGCCTACAGGTGTAAACAGCTTTCTGACACCTCTATTATTGCGGTTGCCTCTCACTGCCCTTTACTTCAGAAAGTACATGTAGGCAACCAGGACAAACTTACTGATGAAGGACTCAAGCAGGTAATTTTAGCATTTATAGAATGATTTTGATTATATTAATTTAAAATATTTTCTTGTAGCAACACTTTAAAAGGTTATCTTAAAAATAATGCTCAGAGATCAAAGTGAGTTATGTTTTTTGTGTATCAGTGAATACTTGTTAAGGTTAGTGAACTACAGTGTCATGGTTATAATCAGTAAATTAACTTTGTTGTGTTCTGTAGTGGGAGCCTAAACTTCTGTGACCAACCATTTTATTAATTTATTCTTTTGTTACTTAAATTTTGTAAGAAATTTTAGGTAATAGTTTGCAGTTTGGGTCAGCATGAGCTTTTAAAAATTAACTTTTAATTCCTCTTTCATGTTAGTAGATGACACACTTACATGCCTTAAAATATCAAATTGTTTAGATTTATAAATAGGAAGTCCAACTTTAAGAATATAAAATGAAGAAAAAAGTGACGATCACCTATATTTGGCATAATAATTGGATTAAAAATGGAATTTTACATACTTTCTATTTGATACACTTCCCTTGGAAATGGCATTTAAAGTTTCTTGGCTCAGAGTAGATTATTCATTCAACAAATGAATATCCTTACATTTAACACGATATATGCATTAACTGAAAGTTCAGTATTAGAAGAAATTTGGGGAAATTTTATCCTAAATAGTGAATACTTGATTTGTCAATCCAATTTATATTAAAATGTTATCGATTTGTAAGGGAACCTGTTTTGTTTGTAAAGAAAAATTGTGCAATAATAGTCTTATTTTAATATTTTTCTTCAATATTCACTAGCAAAGCATTTTATGAAGTTCTTAAGTGTGTTAAAACAAATTAATGTTTTAGGGAGAAATTATATCTTCTGGATGTAGCATGATTTTATTTTGACAGAAATTTCTTAGCAATTTATACTTTACAATGAAACACTTCTAATAGGTCTATGTATATTTATTAAGAACTGGGTTAAACCTGTTCACAGTTACCAATATCAGAGGCTGCTGAGGGTGTTCTTAGTAATATTTATGAAAAAGGATGCACATTATAGTTATGGTTGAAGCAGAGGGAAATTAGAAAGTTCCTTAAGCAAAAGTTAGTGTGCCAATCTAATATTATTAACTTATCTAATATTCACAACGCTGAGGCTAATTATTTAAATCTTCCCTTGAATGTGAGACATTTTGGACCCTGTCAACCTATTTAGATTAGATCTGTGCTTTAAATTTTCATGGTTTCTGAGTTATGAATTCATTATATGTGAGTTAACATTCTTGTAAAAGTAGTAAAATATCTAAATTTTTTCTCCCTTAGGTAATTGTCTTCTTAACTACACAGGACTCTGACTGCAGTGTAGAGAAAATATTTACCTCTGCTTAAGAATATGCTATGGCAGAGCATGTTCTCTTTTAGACTCTTCTGATGGAAGAGGGGAATGGGTATAGTAGAAAATAGATTTGGAGTTTAATATTTTCATGTATACATATACTAGAAATAAGTTTTATGAAGCAATACATACCTTTATGTGCAAAGTACATTGATATTATCTATTCTGTGCTGCTGCATTCAGTTTTAGCCTTGATCCGCTCACTAATTTTATGATCCAGTGAAGTTTGATGAATTGTGAAGTTCTTTTTCTGTTAATTTATATGTGTATGCTTTTTGAGTTGTTGGTTTGTTTGCAAACACAGTTACTTAAAGCATTTTAATTTGGAGTTCTAGTACATCTAGGATTTAATATTTTAAGTAATTGTACATAACAATATTTCTCAAACTTGTGGTAAAGCACCTACTAGGGTCTTTGCTGGTTTTGGCCACTTTTTCTTTTTCCTAGAGACAGGGCTCAGGGTCTTGCTTCGTCATCTGGGATGAGTTTATTGGTAAGATTATGGCTTACTCTAACCTTGAATTCTAGGGCTTAAGCAATACTACTGCCTCAGCTTCCTGAGAAGGTGGGACTACAGGCATGTGCCACTCTGCTCACCTAAGTTTTAGAAGTTTTTCTTTGTAGAGATGAGGTCTTGCTGTGTTGCCCAGGCTGGCATTGAACTCTTGGCCTCAAGTGATCTTCCTGCCTCTGCCTCCCCTCCCATGGCTGGAATTATAGCAGTGAGCCACTGTGCCTGGCCCTGGCAAATATTTTCTTCTTTGTGAAATATCACCTTCAAGTATTGGTATTTTAATTTCCATAAAAGTCACCTCAAATAATTTTATCAGTGGAATATGTATGTGCTATATCAGGTGTCCTCAAACTACAGCCCACGGGCCACATGCAGCCTGCCTAGAACATTTATCCAGCTGGCTGGGTATTTTTGCCGCCACTGCCTATCCTGCTTAGCAGCCGACTCGGCCCAGGGCCCACAGTCTGGCCCTCCAACAGTGTGAGGGACAGTGAACTGGCCACCTGTTTAAAAAGTTTGAGAAGCCCTGTGCTACATACATCTTTTAAAATGATCATCATGTACCTAGAGGAAAATAAATCCTATTTAATGAAGAATAATAGGGTGTTTCAGTTTTTCTAATACTCTTCATTTAGCCTTTGCCACCAAACAAGTGATAGCAGTAAAGTCTTGAAACAAATCTAAGCAATTTTATTCACTAAGTTACTCTTTTATGTGATTGTGTTCAATTTTAGCAGTTTAATTCTTCAGTCTTAAGGAGCTCATTAGAAATTTCTGGAAATGGCTTGGCGCCTGTGGCTCAAGAGGCTAAGGTGCTAGCCACATACACCTAACGTGGCGGGTTCAAATCCCCAGCCCGGACCTGCCAAACAATAATGATGGCTGCAACCAAAAAATGGCCAGGCGTTGTGGCGGGCGCCTGTGGTCCCAGCTGCTTGGGAGGCTGAGGCAGGAGACTCGCTTGAGCCCAGGAGTTGGAGGTTGCTATGAGCGTGATGCCATGGCACTCTACCCAGGGGGATAGCTTGAGGCTCCGTCTCAAAAAAAAAAAATAAATAAAAGAAATTTCTGGAAATATGCCACCGTAGGCTTCTCCCAGATTAAAATGGAACAAAAATAATGCTATGAGTTTTCAGGTCTTTAAAAATATATGACATCAGGAAAATATTGGAGCAGACTGCTTCAAAACCCTGTCCCACCCTCTACAGAAACATTGAACAACAAGCTGAAACTATCAGATCTAACTTTGCCAGGACTCTGGAAAATAGTCAAAAGTTTACAGCAACCAAGGGCATGCTGGACCAAGAAAAGAGCAACTAGAAGGTGGAAGGAATGCCTTGTGCCTTTCTTCCTTGCCTGTGCCTTACTCCCTCCCCAGCATGGCAGTAGCGTTGAAGAGAGCAGCCTGAGTTGCCAGTGTGGGACCTAGGTCTGTGGTTCCAAAGAAAGCAGAACAGAATTATTTGCAAATTATTGTGTTTGTCTGTTCCAACTGTCTGAAGGGCTAATGCAGGTGCTCATATATCTGTTTCACCTAATTTAGAACCCATTCAGGGGAGAAAAGCATTGGCTATTGATTGAAAACATTGTAAGGCAAGTTAAAAAACCTGCTTTGGGGAAAAGTTAAGGGTATACAGGGGAATGTAGAAAGCCACGTGTGTGCACATGGCAGGACACATGCTCAGGAAGGACCTAAGAAGACCATCCATTTTCATCAGTGGGTGCTCTCTAGGCTTGGAACAAGCAGGAAGTCAGGGCCACGGCAGAATTGTATACGGTAGGCTGCAGACTAGGAGAAAAGTTTTTGATTTTTGTTTTTTTTTTGTTTAAAAGCTTTTGGTTTTCCAGGAAATCCCTTTCAAAACACTGGCTAAACACAAGTTAAGCCTTGAATAATCAAAAACAGCAGACCCTAGGGAAGACAGGAGAGTTTAATTTCCATATATTAGCATATAATTGGCATATATGTTCTAGTGTATGGTTTTCAACAAAAAAAATCACAAAGCAAAGAAACAAGTATGACTTACCAAAAAGAAGACAAGGCAAAACCTATTCTTGAGGAAACCTAGCTAATTAGGCATATTAGACAAAGATTTTAAGTCAGTTATCTTAAATATGCCCAGAGAATTAAAAGAACTAATGGACAAAGAACTAAAGGAAATTAGGAAAATGATGCCTGAACAAAATCAGTAGAGAGACAGAAGTTATAAAAAGAACCAAATAGAAGTTCTGGAGTGGAGAAGCATAATAAGTAAAGTGAAAATTTTACTATAGAGAATCAGCAGCATATGTGACCAGGCAGAAGAATCAGTGAACCTGAAGATATGACAGTTGAAATTATTGTCTCTGAGAAGCAGAAAGAAAAGAGAATGAAGGAAAGTAAGCTAAGCCTGAAAGGCCTGTCGGATACTGTCCAGGACAGCAGCATTTGCATATAGTTAATTTCAGAAAAAGCAGGGAGAGAAAAATGGGTAGAAATAGTATTTGAAGAAATAATGGTCAGAACTTCTTAACTTTGATGAAAGACTTTATACCTACAAAAGCTCAATGAACTCAAGCAGGATAATTTCTAAGAGGTCTGTACTGAGATATTTTATAGTCTGATTGTTGAAAGCCCCAGAGAGAGAGGGAGTCTTAAAAACAGCAACAAAATAGGTGACTCATTATATACATGGGCTTGCCAATAAGATTAACAACTCATTGCTCATCGGAAACCATAGATGCCAGAAAACTGGGCTTTCAGTAGGACGTAGTTAAACCTTTCCAAAGCTGCCATCTACACACTCCCCAGTTCTTATTTATTTTGGGTAGGAAAGAGGTTGGTGGATTACTTACAATTATCCTATAGTTTTAAAAGAGAAAAACATAAATAGGAACTCACTAATTTTATTTATAAATTTATATCTATTTATCAATTTATATCTATTTTGTTTATTTTTGTTTATATATTTTTTTGAGTATGATACTTCCAATGCAATCTCCAGGATGAAGTGCAGGCTTCTTCTGATAAGTCTCACAGTAGAAAATTGTTTTCAGATAAGAAAAAGTAGGGGAGTTTGTTACTAAGAGACCTGCCATGCAAGAAATGCTTACTAAAGGGCGTCCTTCAGGCTGAAATA